TTTAATATTTTTTTAAAAAAATAAAATAAAATTAAAAATATAAAGATATATAAAAGAATTTGAATATTATATAAAAAAGATCAAACTATCCGCCTTTTATATATATATATATATATATATATATATATATATATATGATTATCTCTTATTTTTAGGAAGATATCTCTAACCCTTTGAGAAAATGACAGGGCCTTTGGTTAAACAATTCCAAAGAGAAAACACATGATTCCAACTTTTCATTATATTAGTGCCAGTCCCCTGTAGCATGGCACTGCCCTATTGGGCTAGCAATCTCAAAAAAATTTGTACATCCATAGTTAATTAGACTTCCTATTCACCTTTTTTTTTAAAAAAAAAATATTTACTGTCAAGAGTTCCATTATACATTTGTCTTTTTTCTTAAAAAAAAAAAAAAAAAATCCAATATATATCTGGAATTATAGCAACCAAATTACCGAAGACTTGGTTGATTATAAATTAAACTCTTTCCCTTTTTAGTTATGAAAGGTAATTCACCGGATGTAAAGTAGATGTCAGTTTTATGTGATCAAATAAATATTAAGAGAGAATGAGACTTAAACCTAATTAATTCAGCTTTTAATCTATATCTTGCAGCAATAATGACATAAAGAAATGGGTATGGCTGTTGTTAATTAGAATAAATGGCCTTTGATCATTAGTCTAATATATAATTAAATTCCCTCTAAAACGTGGCCATAAGCTTTGATTGTGGGGTGCTTCCACTTTTACACGATCAAGAAATGGCACCCCATATTAAATAGAAAATTAAGGGTATGAGGCCATATTACAACAGGAAAAGGTTGAAGACAAGTCAAATCACAGCCACTTTAATTACCGCAGAAAAAACAACGATGAGCAGACATGATCTCCAGTATTCTAGGGAAGAAGACAAATATACATATATACACACACTTGCATTAGAGATGAATCCTAATTAAGAATTAATTTAAACATTTTGGTGCTTAGGATTGAAAATGACTAGCAATGAGCATAATTCCGATTAACTAAAAAATTAAATCCAACCGAATCAAATTATGTATTTCGGTTTGGTTTTCAATTTAAATTTATAAAATTAAAAATCAAATTAAAATATTGAAATTATTTCGATTCGGTTTAGTTTTTGAAAAAAAATTCGATTTTTATTGAAAACCGAATACATTATGGTAAGATTATAGATTTATAAAAATTTCATTTCCTACGTCTAGTTTGAGATTTAAATTATGGTATTTAAGGAGGAAAACATATCCTTTATTAGCCCAACCCATATACTAAAAGAATAAAAAGCCTCTAAATATTAGTTCAACCCATAGTTAGAATTTATTAATTAAAAAAATTATTTCTATTAAAATCTAATTTTTACTAAACCAAACTGAAATAATTTGATCTCAAACCAAACTTATTTCGGTTCAATTTCGATTTTAATTTTTCTTAATTTAATTAACCGAAAACTGAATCAAATTTATATAAAATCGAATAATTTAATTGTTTCTTCACCCTTAAAAATGACCTAATTTAAACATATAAGATACTTGTGGGCATGAAATATGTGATTCAATTCCTTAGTCCAGCACCAACCAAACACTACAAAAAAAACAAAGGATTTACGAGGGGAAATTAGCGACGGTCTCAAATCCATTGCTAATTTCAATTTAAAAAAAAAATTTTTTGCAACCATTTTTTGCGACGATTTTTGTAAAAAACTTGTTGCTAATTGTGGAAATTAGCAACGGTTTTTTGTGACGGTTTCCTCCAAAAAAACCGTTGCTAATTCATTTTTTTAAAAAAAAATTTATGTAACCATTTTTTGCGACGGTTCTTGTAAAAAACCGTCGCTAATTTCAATTTTTTCAAAAAATTGAAATTACTTTCAGCCTTTTTTGCGATAGTTTTTTTATCAAAAAACATCGCAAAATTAGTAAATTAGCGACGGTCTAAAGACCGTCGCTAAACCTTTACTAATTAAGAGGAAAATGGCTATTTTTTTTTAACTTTTTTAGACATTTAGCGATGGTTTAAAGACCGTCGCTAAAACTTTCAACCTCCTATATAACAATTTGCCTAAAAATTTGCAAGAAAAAATTTCTTCTCTCTCTTCTTCTTCTTTTTCTCCAGTGCCGATCTCCCTTCCATTTCCATTAAATCTTCCCCCTCTCTTTTTTATTTTCCTTCCAATCTCCTCCTCTCTCTCCTACTTCCCTTTCTTCCCTCCATCTCTCACCCTTTCTTCCTCCTTTTCCTCTTTCTTTCTTCCTTTCTCCCCCTTCCTCAATCGGCCATTTTCCAACCGGAATGGTCCGACGAAGCCTCTCTACTAGCGCAACCCACTCTCCTCCTTGTGTTGGTGAACGGTCCTCCCTCATCTAATCTCTTAATTAATTTTTTAATTTTTTTCAATTATTTACTTAATTTAATTTTAAAGTTTTTTGTTATTGTTAATTGTTAAGAAATTTTAATTGTTATTAATTGTTTAATTATTAATTTTATTTTTATTAATTTTTGTTGTTAATTTAATTGTTAATTTTTATTATTAATTGGTAATTTTTAATTGTTAATTTAGTTAGTTTATTGTTAAATATTATTTATTAATTTAGTTAGTTTAATTGATGGTATTTTGGAAAGTTAATTATTTTAGAAAATTGTTAATAAGTTATTAGCAATTGGTCAATTTAAAATGAGGATAAAATAATAATAATAATAATATTTTAGCAATGGTCTAGACAGTTTCTAAGATCGTCGCTAATTTTTTTTTTGCAACGGAATTAGCGACGGTCTAGACCGTTGCTAATTTTTTTACGATAAAATTAAAAATTAGTCAATTTAAAATGACGATAAAAAAAAAATAATATTTTTGCTAATTTGTTTGCGACGGTCTAGACCGTTGCTAATTTTTTTGCGATAAAATTAACAATTAATCAATTTAAAACGAGGATAAAAAAATATAATATTTTTGCAACGGTCCGGATCGTTGCTAAGACCGTTGCTAATTTGTTTGTAACGGAATTAGCGACGGTCTAGATTGTTGCTAATTCTAAATATTAGTGACGAGTCTAAAACCCTCGCTAAAATTGTCACAAAACGGCGATGGTTTTTTAATTTTGTGACGATTGTTTCCGTTGCTAAAGTAGCGACGGTCCGAAAACCGTCGCAAAAGTTTAACGACTAGCATTTTACCGACGGTTTTTGGACCGTCGCTAATTCTATTTTTTTTTTTGTAGTGAAAGATATGAACAAGAGTATTGTTTTTAAAAATTATTTTGGTCCTTAAGAGTAATTTCTTACAATTCGGTCCTTCATTTATAAGTTTTTTTGTCCTTAAAGTTTTTATTAAAAAAAATTGGTCCTTATTGTATAAAGATTTTGCAATCAAATCCATGCATGTTATCTTTATTTATTTATTATTATTTTTACATATATTTAGTATTTTTATCGGCTTCATTGTTTATTAGATTATTAAGTCGGATAAAGTGCGTATTCACGCCTTATCTTATATATTGTTGTTTCTAAGATGAAATTTAAAAAGAAAAAAAAAGACTAATATCTTTGTGAAAATCAAGGCTACTTCGCTTTTGAGTGAACAATCATATAAGTGACTAATCACTTTAGAGTTTAGAGGAAAAGCCATATACATATTATTAGGAATATATAAATAACTCATATTTTGTACTTTGTTTGTGTAGCGAAAGGTACTTTCTTCCTATATTTTATTCTTCACTTTCTCCCATAATTGAAAAAATATAGGCAGAATCATGACGATGGATAATGGATTCCAATCTTTGTCAATTTTATGCATAAATATAGGGGAATTGATAGTTTACTACATAAGTACTCTTACTTGTCGAATCTTACGTTAATTCCAACTACAATATAAGATTAATCTTGTCACATTAAGATTAGGAATAATACCACCTAGTATACATACATTATAAGTAAGGTCCTAATATATCTATTGTCTTCCATTTTAAGATTTTTTTTTCGAAATCCTAAAATAAAAAATGGATGAGAATGTAGAGATTGCAAGAATCTAACTTTATCATGTAGCTCAAGTTCATTCCTAGCTGCATGATTATAGAATGGCTATATATATTGAATATTTATGGTGAAAAAGGAACGTTGCAAAGCATGAGTGAATTAATGGCGTTTTGATTTTTTGAAAACTTGAAATAGTACTGATTCATGATCATTTTCAAGTGAATGAGAGAAAAAAAAAGCTGCATCTATACTAGTAATTTATTTTTAAATGAAAATAGGAAAAAAAAAGTTTTAATTGAATTAATTTTATCATTAAACATATATTAAGTAAAATAATCATGCATGTTCAAATTATACGATTAATTCTAGTGATTTGATCTAAATTTTTTTAAAAATAATATAATTAAACATTTTAACATATATTTTAACATATAACTGATTCAATTAGCAATATAATAAATACATATAAAAGATCACCTTATACTATAAATGTTAACCCCATGATCAATTCAGAATATGATGGAGTTTAGAAGAGAGATGGACTGGCCTTATATATTATTATTCTTGGGTTTAGCTTTTGATCTAGGCTTGGACTGCTTTTGGGTATTGGACATATATATCTTGGCCTTTCTTTGTTTTTATAAATTCCATTTCCTATTCATAGGTGATATATATATATATATATATATATATATATATATATATATATATATATATATATATATATATATATATATATATATATATATAGAGAGAGAGAGAGAGAGAGAGAGAGAGAGAGATTTATGAGAAATCGTGGAAAATAATATTGACTTTGTTAACCAGAAATTGAACAAAAAAATTAATACAAAGGAAAACGAAAAATTAACTTAATCATACAATTCTCTACATCGTTATGTGTTTGTGTATTTTATTTTTATTTTATTATTTTAGAAGAAAAAACACTCGAATTTTATTGAAGGAAAAAAAAATGATGTTAAGCTACATGTGATTTGGCTGCTTCTGATGCATTAATTAAACATGAAATCTTTCATAAGAACAAGTAATGTTTTGGCCTTAGAGGGCTCCTTAAGCTCTACAACATGGTAGCCTCCTTTGCTAAAATGGCTCAAAACTTTTATATCTCTTGTCACCAACATGTTCACAAATTCCATCTGACGGTCGATCATGGGATCCCCATCACAGCCAGTCACCAGTACTTTCCATCCCAGCAATCTTAGATTCTCCCAAAGCTTAGATCCACCATCCACCATTGGATTACAATACTCATGATCACGGTCAACGCCAGAAGGCAATGCCAAGTTCCACATAAGATCATTAACACATTGTGGCAAGTGAGGGTCATCAACTAGCCTCATCTCTGACCCAGTCCTTTGGACCCCACCAATGAATGGATGATGCAATATCAGCCCTTTGATCTTCAAGGGCACGAGATTGTCGACTTCTTGACTTACACATAAACCTGCATGGAAAGCAATGTTAGCTCCAGCACTGCTGCCCATAATGAAACATCTAGTGTAATCAACATTTTCTATTAGCCAATCTTCTTGGGTGGTTTTGATCCAACGCAAAACCTCCACAGCATCATCATAGGCTGCCGGTAGACGGTGCTCGGGGGCGAGACGGTAGTCAACGGAGACGACAACAAATTGAAGATCAAGAGTCATTTTGGAACAAAAATCATGAAAAATTGTGGAACTTGCACTGCAATTGATAAATCCCCCACCATGGAAATAGACTATAAGAGGAAGCTTGTTGGTCGAAGAAGAATCAACTATAGTTTGCCTCGGTAAAAATATACGAACCCATGTTTTTCTTGATTGGTTAATGACTGTGTCTTTGGAGAGGACAGGAGTAGGGTTTTTGGGGTCAGGTGATGGTGAGGAATTCGGAAATCTATTGGGGTCACGGGTGATTGTGCCATTAGGGTTAGGGATGATTTGAAGATATTGGTAGGGATCAGCAATGGTAGGATTGGAGGATGAAGTTTGGCCTGACATTATGTACCCTACCAATATCTTTAGAGAACTGTTATTATTTGGGTTATAAAACACATCAAGTGGAGAATTTTGTGGATGATTAATCTTTGTTAATTCTAACTCTGTCTAGTTGACTTTGATAGTTTTGCTTGGTCATGAAGAAAAAAATAAAAATGAGCAGATCGCAGAAATTTTGGATAAGACTTTAGAATATGAATTTTTTATTTATTGAGGTTGCTTTTGGAAATGATGAAGATTTGCTCCTCAAGGATTTACGCAGAGGAGAAAGAGAGAAGGAGAAAACTGCTAGGTTTCATTCACTTTTTTTTTTTCTTTTCTCAGAGTATTCCAAGCTCATACTAAATTTTTGATATTCGATTAAACGTACAGGAATGATACAATTATTAAAACAAAAATTTACAAACACAGATATTCGAATTCGAAATTATTTATTTAAACTATTAAAACTTTTATCATTCAAAATAATTTTCTTAGATAAGATTTCATTCACTTTATAACTTATTTGTAAATCATTTTTCCAAAAACCATTCATGTAGGTCTAAGAAATTTCTCCATAGCCTCGACAAATGCACTAAGTTTGGGAGGTTCCATCATTTCCACACCATGATAACCTCCTTCACCGAAAATGCCCTCCACTAGGATACCCTTTTTTTCTATCAACTTGACAAACCCAATCTGACGGTCAAAAAGTGGGTCTCCATCCCATCCGGTCACCAACATCCTCAACCCCATAAACTTGAAATGATCCAATAAAGTTGATGCAACCCCGACCGTCGGATTGGAATACTCATGATCACGGTCAACACCGATAGGCAATGACATGTCCCACGCTGCGTCAACAACATTGGATGGCAAAGCAAGATCGTTCTCCAACTTTAATTCCGACTCTGTCCTTTGGGTCCCACCAAAAAATGGTTGATGCAATATCAGCCCTTTGATTTTCAAGGGCTCAAGATCATTTATACTCTCGGCTACACGCAAACATGTATGGTAAGCTATGTTGCCACCAGCACTACTGCCCATAACAAAACAACTTGAATAATCAGCATAGTGCTTCAACCAAACTTCTTCTTTCATTTTGATCCAGTGCAACGCTTCCACAGCATCATCATATGCTGCCGGTAGCCGGTGCTCCGGGGCAAGACGGTACTCGACGGATACTACAATGGCAAGGAGTTGCATAGCCATGTTTGTGCAAAAATCATGAAAAATACTTGTAGCTGGACTGAACGCAACAAACCCTCCTCCATGGAAGAATACAATGACAGGCAGTTTGTTGGTTGAGGAGGAACGTTCAAGTGCTTTACGAGGCAAAAATATGCGAGCCCAAGTGTTGTTCGATTGGTTGATGGGGATGTCCTTGGAGAGAACTAGGGTGGGATGGTTAAGGTCTTCTATGGCCATGGTATTCGGGAATAAGGTGCTTGGTTTTCTAGTGACTGTGCCATCAGGATGGGGAAAGATGCCTAAATATTCATTAATGTTTGAGGAGAGATTTGTGGGGATGGTTTGATCTGACATTTTAGGGTGGATTATGGTAGTAATTAACGATGACTATGTAGCTAGGAAGGTGGTCTTGTGATATTAATTTATAGAAGTCGGTATGTCATATGATCCTCCAAGGCATAAAAAATTAAATAGATGTGTGTTCGGGAGTTGCTATCTAGATTGATACAATTGAGAAAAATGGATCTTGCCTTGGATCAAATACAAACAAGAAGAATGAGCCAAGGTAATCAATTGGTGAGGAATGTCATGATCCCACCCAAAAAAAAAAAAAAAAAAGGCTAGGCATGTCAAAACATATTCAATTCATAAGATAAGGAGTTTGAAAGAGAGATGGAGAGGCCGTATATATTATTCTTTGGCCTTAGATTTAATACAAGTATGCATAGTGATGTAAGGAGAAATAGAGTGCTTTATGTTAGTTTAAGAGAAATTTTATAATAACGAAAGAGTAATTAGGAGAAATTTTATAATATTTAAAGAGTAATTAGTATAAGTTATTCTATAAAAAGAAATAAACACAAAGAGAAGAGAAAAATAGAAGAGATAAAAAAAATTAAGACAACGTGAAATTTTTTTTTATCATTTTTAGTTAATCTAAATGTGATTTTTTTTTTATGTATCTATTTTTTTTTTCAAAAATAGATTCATGAAGTAACTATTATATATGTACACTAATTACTTTTGAATATTATAAAATTTCTCGTTAGTTTATAATTTCTTCTTAAAAAAAAAAATAAGAATTGGCCGGATAAAAAAGTAGAGGAGGTTTTTTTTTAGCGAATCAGAACCCAATAAGGCATAGTAATTTTTAATGGGTACAGCTATTGCCATCTTTAATCATCATATGCTCAAGCGAGGCAATGTGAGAGTGCAAGGCAGTACTCAACAAAAATTATAATTTGTATTAAGTTGTGTAGCCATTAATTAGCGTACAAAGATCATGAATTATACTTGAATCTGCTGATGAACTGCGATCCAGATAAAAATAAAATTTATATATTTATTGAAAAACTATTAAAAGCTAGTATATTTATAATGAAATTATTCAAATGTTGTTGCTAGACTAATCTTAATCAATTAATTAGTACTTTCTCTGGTAGAAATATCCCATTTTTTCGTGACACAAAGGCAACAGTAACATAATTTCAATTGGGAATGCTGCTTGTTGGATTCCAGACACTGTTTTACAACTAATAGTCTAATAATAATAAAATTGGATTGGACTTGGAGAGTTAAGGTTCAGTAATGGGCCTTTTCCAAGCCTTTATTCATCGAAAATAAAAAATCGGGCAGCTCAATTTGTCAGGCCCAGGATAACTGATGGGTCTACTGAAGGTTAGGCCCTGAGAGTTTGGTTTGGGAGTAAAGGGAGTGAAAAGTTGTCTTTGTAATTTTTCATCCTTTTTTTTATTTATTTTCATTTTTAAAGTAATTTATAATAATTAATTTTTGAGTATTATAAAAAAAAATTATAGAGTAACTTATACTATTTACTTCTTAATTATTATAAAATTTCTCAAATAGGGAAATTTTTTTATGAAGATTAACATTATTAAGACTCTAAAAGACATAAGATTCTAATTTTTTATGACTTTGTTCGTTTTCTTTTATATAGTAATTCAATTACAGGAAAGCATCTACAGTCCAACGATTAAGGTAACAGAACTCGGGTTCAACTCCCAACAGATACATTTATGCTTAATTTTGGATAGCCAAACTTTTATAAACTTTTTTTTATTTTGGTCCCTATTTTGTAATATTTTTTTATCTTGGTCATTAAAAATTTATTATATTTGATTTTTATCCCAATAATAAATATTTTTTTCTTGGCTTTTAGTAAAAATTTATGTTCTTTTTTTTGTTCTTATTTTGTGATATTTTTTAATTTTAGTCATTAAAGTTTTATCATGTTTGATTTTTATCCTTACTATACTAAAGATAAATATATTATTATATTTGATTTTTATCCTTATAATAAATTTTTTTCTTGGTTTTAGTAAAAATTTATGTTTTTTTTCATTCTTATTTTGTGATATGTTTTTATTTTAATTATTAAATTTTTATTATATTAAATTTTTATTCTTACTATACTAAAACTAAATAAAGTTTAATATCCTAAGCTTTTTTTTGTACTATTCACTTCTTTTTTTTTTTTACCCTCACAATGTACTATTCACTCTTTAGTGTGTTTTTATTTTATTTTTTTTGTAATTTTTACTCTTACTTTTTTCTTCTTTTTTTTATAATTTTTAAATTATTTCGTTTTAATTTCTGAAATTTTATTACAAGAAATACGAAACAAAACGAGAAAGTGTTGTAGCACTTTCCCTGTTCATTCAATGTTTGCCTCTTTTTCTTTCTTTCTTTTTTTTTTTTTTTCCAATTGCTTAGCCAAGCTTTTAGGATTTTTATTTTTTATTTTGGCCCTCGTTTTGTAACTTTTTTATTTTTATTTTTTTTATTAAAAAATTATTATATTTGATTTTGTCTCAATAATAAATATTAAAATTTTATTATATTTTTTCTTACTATACTAAAACTAAATAAAGTTTACTATCCTAAGCTTTTTTTTTATACTATTCACTCCTTTTTTTTTTTTTTACCCTCACAATGTACTATTCACTCTTTTTTTTCTTTTTGTAATTTTCACTCTTACTTTTTTTCTTAGTTTTTTCTTCTTTTTTTATAATTTTTAAATTATTTTGTTTTGATCCTTGAAATTTTATTACAATAAATACTAAAACAAAACGAGAAAGTGTTGTAGCACTCTCCTTGTTCATTCAATGTTTGCCTCCCCCCCCCCCTCCCAATTGCTTGCTTAGCCAAGCTTTTAGGAATTTTTTTGTTTTTAATTTTGGTCCATGTTTGGTAACATTTTTTTAAAATTTTTTATTATTAAAAAATTATAAATATTAAAATTTTATTATATTTTATTTTTATCCATATAATAAATATTTTTTCTTGGCTTTTAGTAAAATTTATGTTCTTCTTTCGTTCTTCTTTTGTGATATGTTTTTATTTTAGTTATTAAACTTTTATCACAATTGATTTTTATCCTTACTATACTAAAACTAAATATTTTATTATAGCCCTATAATAATTTTTTTTGGCTTTTAGTAAAAATTTCTATTCTTTTTTTTATTTTTATTTTGTGATATGTTTTTATTTTAGTTATTAAATTTTTATCATGTTTGATTTTTTATCCTTTCTATACTAAAACTAAAAAAAGTTTACTATCCTAAACTTTTTTTTGTACTATTCATCCTTTTTTTCACACTCACGATGTACTATTCACTCTTAGGTGTGTTTTTGTTTTTTTTTTTTTCATATTTTTTCTTCGGTTTTTTTTTTAATTTTCAAATTATTTTGTGTTGATCCCTGAAATTTTAAAATAAAAATTTTAATCCCTAGCTAATGCACTACATGCTTTTTATTTTTTCTTTAATTTTTCCCATCAATTTATGCTCTCTTTTTTATTTAATTGGGTGTTAAAATTTTTAAAAATCAATCATGACTTTTTTTCTACACAAACTGATGATTATATAATATATATAGATCAAATATATGTACTTTTAAAAAATAATCTTCTCATCAACATTAAATAAGAATAAAATTTTATTTTTTCATTGGTTAATGTTTATGCAAGTTCATACATTAATGGTAATTTTATTTTTTTTGGATATATTCTTATAAAACAATATATTTTTAAATTATTTATTTTTAAAATTTTTAACCAATATTTAAAGTTTAAATTATATAGTACCAGGTTTATTTAGGAATCCCTAAATAAATAAAAATAAATCATGTTTTTTTTAAGCAAAAATTTTATGAAAAACACAAAAAAAAATAGTAATAATTATATATATAGATCAAATGTATGCACTTTAAAAAAATAATCTTCTCATCAACATTAAATAAGAATAAAATTTTATTTTTTCATTGGTTAATTTTTATACAAGTGTATATATTAATTATAACTTTATTAAATAAGAATAAAAATATATTACACAAACCGATGATTATATAATATATATATATATAGATCAAATGTATGTACTTTAAAAAAAGTAATCTTCTCATCAACATTAAATAAGAATAAAATTTTATTTTTTTATTGGTTAATTTTTATGTAAGTCTATTCATTAATTATAACTTTATGTTTTTGGATATATTCTTATAAAATAATATATTTTTAAAGTATTTATTTTTAAATTCTTAATCAATATTTTAGGTTTATATTATATATTACCAGATTTTATTTAGGAATCCCTAAATAAATAAAAATAAATCATATTTTTTAAAATAAAAATTTTATGAAAAACACAAAAAAATAGTAATAATTATATATATTGATCAAATGTATGTACCTTAAAAAAATAATCTTCTCATCAACATTAAATAAGAATAAGATTTTATTTTTTCATTGGTTAATTTTTATGCAAGTCTATACATTAATTGTAACTTTATTAAATAAGAATAAAAATATATTATACAAACTAATGATTATATAATATATATAGATCAGATGTATGTATTTTAAAAAAATAATGTATTTTAAAAAAATAATCTTCTCATCAACATTAAATAAGAATAAAATTTTATTTTTTCATTGATTAATTTTTATGCAAGTCTATACATTAATTGTAACTTTATTTTTTGGATATATTCTTATAAAATAATATATTTTTAAAGTATTTATTTTTAAATTCTTAATCAATATTTCAAGTTTAAATTATATATTACCAGATTTTATTTAGGAATCCCTAAACAAATAAAAATAAATCAAGTTTTTTTTAAATAGAAATTTTATGAAAAATGCAAAAAAATAGTAATAATTATATATATAGATCAAATGTATGTACTTTAAAAAAATAATCTTCTCATCAACATTAAATAAGAATAAATTTTTATTTTTTCATTGGTTAATTTTTATGCAAATCTATACATTAATTGTAACTTTATTAAATAAGAATAAAAATATATTATACAAACTGATGATTATATAATATATA